GATATTGACTATAGAAGATTAGAACTCGATGTTAGGAGTTAGATAAGATGGTTGTCAGACTTGTCATTCAGCAAATAAGCGTGGAAAGGGTCAGGAAGATTCGATAACCTTTTTGAGATCCATGGAATCAGGTACTGGTCCAGACCAGACTTGGATTCCAGGGCTCCTACTGCTCGGGATTATATTCTTTTTACCATTCTAACCTGCCTTCCAAGATGGTTCTGTCAAATTTTTCTTCCGAATATGGAAATTCTGCATAGGCATTTCACCAGATTTTCTTCTGAATAACACAAACAGAACTTTGCCCACTTCAGCGATGAAGTCTGTAAAATTTGGCTCCAGGAAAGCTATGCATGATTGAAAGACATTTGTGTTTTTAAAAACAATGCCCTACGTATTTGCCTTGTCTCTAGGTAAAAAAGAAGATCATTTTCCTCCTGTAATGTCACTCTCTGGGCCCAGAAGCCTCATCCTTCCTCTGAATTTTCTGCAGTACCTCAAGGAAATCAATACCCTGCCCTTCCACAAGTGGTTCTGAGCTAATTCTGTTTACAGCATTGTTAGACATTTTTGATGATATTTACCCTCTTATTTCTGGAAGCAGGAAGGGCATGAAAAAAATTGTCAGTTACTTAGTTCTTCTCTATTATTTTTAGGTTTTTTAAAATTTTCATTGACTTCATAGCCATTAAGGGTTTTTTAACTTTTATGGATCTCAAATTATTATAAATCCAAAGCTTTTACTTTTTTCTTTCACTCACTTTCATCCCGGTTTAAGAATTTCAAGATTTTGTTGTATTTTGTTTTATTTTGCTTTATTATCTTTAAAATGAAATAAAATTTTCAAGATTTGGATTCAAAGTGTATAATGAACTGATGGCAGTATGTATCGGTAAAACATTTATAATTAGAAAATACACAGCATAAATATTCTTAACTAGAGTACAGTGTTAACTTCTCAAAGACAAAAATCAGATCCCTACATCTTCCATACCATATACATAATAGCTTCAAAATAAAATTTTTTGAATCATGTATTTAATCAGCAATAAGTCATCCAATTGGCCAGTTTTTGTATATGCAGCATCCATCAAATCATTTCTTGTGGTATTGAGAATTGAACCCAGGACCTTCACATTGAGTTATATCCCAGATCATTTTTAACATTTTGTTTACTTGTTTTCAAACAGGGTTTCATTAAATAACTAAATTGGCCAGGCTAACCCGGATTTTGCAATCCTCTTGCCTCAACTGCTCAGAGGCTATACCACCAATCCTGGCTTCAACAGATAATTTAACTTTGAAAATAAGTGGATTTACCTTGGGATTTACTGCTACAATAGCATCATAAAGCATGCTTTCTATAGTTTATTTTGAAAACCATTAAAAGCCACAGGAAAAATATTCATTTAATATGCCTAATTTTTTCCAAATTTCAAACAGAGCAGTATTTTATTTTCACAGAAGTATTCTAAGCATTTGGTAATTGCTTGTAATTCTTCCACATCGCTATTTTGGACCTTGGGCCTGGCTGTCTTGAGGAAGTGTAAAGGAAGGTATGCGTTGAGAATGTATTTTATAGAAAATAATTTGGCTACTTCAAGAGATTCAGGAGGCAATTACCTTAGCATTGTAATATCAGCATATAAATGTGGCACAGATATATTCTGTATGTGCAAGAAAGTTTCGAAATCTGATACTTTTCATATCAACATGTGAATGAACCAATTGGTCTGATTGAAAATATGAGTCATAATTTATAGCAGAAAAATCAATGTTTTGTGAGTGTATGTTTTCTAAAACCTAATTTGCAGTCTTTCCTTGAGAAACAAGAAACTTATTACCAAGGAATCAAGGCTCTTGACATTAAATGTTCTTATTTTTGTTTAAAAATGTCTCCATTTTCCATCTTTTCAGAATGCAATTAGCTTTATTACAGCATTCAGTTTATGGTAAATTATTAGCTATTGAATTTTTGATCTTCTACTATATAAATGTAGAATCTTTTCTTATCTACATAAGCCTGTGTCTCTTGAATTCAATGCTACAGGGACCACTCATATTCATTTCCTTGAACAACATTTGGTACATGTTTAAAGTTTGTTAAGCAAATAATAAAGGAGGATCTTTCATATAACCATGTTTTAAATGATATATTATTATTTGTGAGTTTTCTGCATAATAAAAACCCATTTTACTTGCCTTTTCATTTTTTAGAACCATTTCTTCCTTCTTTTGTTTGTTATGCTTTTTCTGTATGTAGTCTACATCTTCCTGAATTCTAAAGATACAATCACTTACCCCGCTCTTTATTCACTTTGTCTTCCTAATTTCAAGCAATGATGTGAAAATAATGGTGCTTATGTCTTTGTAATGACAGAAATTCCTTTGTCTGCTCTTCAGACTCATTTTAATCCTCAGTGACTCATATTTAAGAAATGAACAGTGCAGCTGTGGTGGAGTTAAGTCCTTGGCAACAACTCGAGGGGCAAACAAGTGGTCTCTCACAATGGACCGCCCGTAGCCTTGAATTATTTACTGTTCAGTTGTAACAATGGAGTTTCATCATCAGATAATGTCTTGGACTTTCTCAGTTAGATGAGACCCATTTTCTTATTGAATGACCCCACTCCAATACTTTCTTCTACTTTCTCCTGTCCATATCTTTAACAGATCTTTTCTTCCTTGTCTGATCAAATGTGATAGTTTCCCAAGGACTGTCTAATTCTCCTGAGCCTCTTCAAGTTTTAACATTGAAAATTTCCCATCTTGAAAAATGAAGTGCTGAAAAAACGAAGGTGATTGGTTACTCTATGGCTAGTTTCCATCCTCTCCTCTATATTCAATGATTCTTAGCCCAGAAACACATCTTTTCCCTTCATCTTGTCATTTTCCTCATTCTCTCCTCTTTCTCTTTTTATTCTCAGGGCAAAAAAAATATTTCATAGTTTTCACTGGAATATCTATTCCCTCTTCTTCTATTCTTCCCTCAAGTAAACCTATTTCTGAGGTTATTGCTTTGCCCTAAAATTATTCCCCCCAAATTGGATGAACACTACTGTTCAGTCAGATCTGGCTTCACCTCTACGTATCACAACTAGATATTCTTGAAATTCTCACTCTTTTTTAGCAGTTCCACACTCATTTCCCCCCATGCTCTCAACGTTTCTATTCTGTTTTGCTCTCTGATGAGAGCCTATTTCTCTCTCTGCTCATTAAATATTGATATATAGGTACTCATGTATATTAGCTGAATGAGAACAACTTCTAAATCTCCATTTCTTCTCCACAAACTCTTGACTGTATTATTTCCATAGGATGGGTGTTACCTCTCCAAACTGAGTGATCATACTCTTTAATCTGTTCTGTATACAGAATCTTCCCTGTCTTAGTGTCAGGTTTGAAATGTGACTCGTTAGTAATTTCACCCTGAATTCACACAAGAAGTGTTCTGGATCAGAGACCAATCTCTTTTAATTACCTTATGGTAAATATTGTTACCTACTCCTCCTTTGACACAGAGACTAACTCCTAGGATGATATGATGACTGTTGATAAAATTTTCCTGAGTGCCCAAGTAATCTACAGACAAAGAGATCAGGAAATGTTATTTTTCTCTGCATCTAAAGGAGGTGGTAGCCATACTCTTATCTTCCTGAAAGATTCTTTTTGGAGACATAATGAATTTAATCTTTTTAATTCTAGCTACTTAAGGAGTATGTTTCAGGCTTTGCAATGTAAAAATAGACTTCAAGGTCTGGGCTTCATAGTTTTTGAAGCATAATTATCTAGAGAGAGAGATGGTCTAGACCTTCTAAAGGTTAAAGCTTGACTTAGGAGCCTACTCCAGACTGTAAGCATTTGGCCTTCTTAGATAAGAAAAATTTGAGAAATTACCTAGTAGGTGGCTACAGATCCAATTCAAATGGCATGGGAAAGTTCTCAAGAGACTATAGATTTTGTAGGTGTGCTGAGACATCCAGGAAAATTTAATTGTTCACATTTAGTTTAATTGCATCTACCTTTTGCTTAGTTAATCAATCTGAAACAGGAGTCCTTGTCCCTTCTTCTTTCTTATCTCTAGCATTTAGCCACCAAATCTTCCCTCCCTCCTTCCTTCCTTCCTTCCTTCCTTCCTTCCTTCCTTCCTTCCTTCCTTCTGAGCTGGCAATGAACTCAGGAACTTGTACATGCTAAGAAAGCATTATACCACTGAGTTACACTGCCAGCTAAATAGTTTTCTTTTTGGTCTAGTAACTTCGGGATGGTAGAAAATATGCACTTTGCTTTTCTCTTAATCTCCTACTTCAAGATCTTATAGATGAGAGATTACTAGCCTAGATGCCATTACATACCTATTCTAGGTCTATTATTTATATAAACTTGTTTCTACAGTTCTTACATCCATTATAACTTAAAACACTTCTACTGTTCTCTGAGAACTCACAATGGGTAATATAATAGTTATTTTCCCAAAGTATTGACAGTTTTCACTTAATTTCCTTTTTATATTCTGTTTTACTCACTGTCAGACATTTGGACAGAATTCATTGATGTTTATCAATTTGATTGATTGTATATTTCAAGACAGTCTAAGTTCCTCCAATGACATTTAAGGCTTCCTATTATGTTTGGGCTGCCAATTGCTTTTGGCATATTTATTAGGTTTTCAATATGTATCATTTAACTTTAGATCTACATTTCAAGTTTGATGATCAGGCTTCATAAACAAAGCGCTGTTATCTTAAGGAGAGGGGATCAATTACCTTGAAACTTGAACCTTCCTGCCCTTTCCCCAGAATAATTTTACAAATGTAGTGGTTATCTCATTAACAGAAAGACCTCAATAGCGTTCTTCATCATTCTTTATGGCTAACAGTTTATAAATGAGAGATAAAAATTGACCTGGGTGTTTTATAAGCAAATTCTGAGCACCTAGGATTAACTTGGAGGAGAATGCTACGAGCCAAATAAGCATTTCTTTTCATCTCATTTCACAGGCCTTCAGGAGGGAATTGAAAACTAAAGAACCTGTAATCATGAGTACTCTTGAGACTGTACGAATATTTCTGACAGAGCAGCCTTTGGAAGGAATGGAGAAACTCTACCAGGAGCCCAGAGGTAATTGAATGCGCTACTGTAATAACATATTGATAGAAAGATCAGTGGCAGCGGAGCAGCCCATCCATTCTCGCTGCCAAGTACTGGGTAGCTCTCATGTTTTCTAGGTTAAACAGAAGCAATTCAAATTAAACATAGATGCTGAAAACCAGTAAGGAATCGTAAATTATCATGCATGAATCTGTTTGCACAATCATAAGTAGATTTTAAAAGAAATTAGCAATCACTTATTGATACATTTAGAAAACCATAAAGGACTTTATCTGTCAGAAGGAATTCCATTATTATAAAAACTACAAGCTAATTTTAGATTTTAGAGCCAGACTAAACTGACTTAGAGTTTATGTTATAGATCCTATTTTTTTCCTAATAGTTTAAATGAATCTCAGATTATCGGACTGATATAAAGTAGAAAAGATTCGCTGTGAAAGACAGATTTTTAGATGTGCTGGGCTATATCACAATTCATGCTAAAGTGTAAAAAAGCCATTAATCAGTAGTTTGGCTGCTTGTTAAACTCTACTTCCTTTATTTCTCCCTGTTTGACCTTTTCAACAATGTGTTTTTAAACAAAAACAAATGTGGCCTAAAACCTTGTCATATTGCCAATTTAGAGCTACCTCCTGAGGAGAGAGCCCAGAATGTCACTCGTCTCCTACGAAAGCAGGCTGAAGAAGTCAACACTGAGTGGGAGAAACTGAACTTGCACTCTGCTGACTGGCAGAGAAAACTAGATGAAGCCTTGGAAAGACTGCAGGAACTTCAGGAAGCTACCGATGAGCTGGATATCAAGCTGCGCCAGGCTGAGGTGATCAGGGGGTCCTGGCAGCCTGTAGGTGATCTCCTCATTGACTCTCTTCAAGATCACCTCGAAAAAGTCAAGGTACTGTTTACTACTTCACTCCAATCCTTTAAAAGATTCAGAGGAAGTTCCCATCTTACCTTGAATGCAGTGTTTTCTTCCCACAGAGTTAAAAATAGAGCCTTTACTTACATAGTAGAAATGAGTCCATCTTTCACCAATTTAGTCTTCTTCCACATGTTATTTTCTCCAAGAAATGATAGTAATGTAATCATTTGTCCAACTTTAGTAATACAAAGTGAAGTATTAAAAGTTACAGGGCCAACATTTGCCATTAGAGAATTAATTCAGCCATACTAAAGTAGTTGATGTGTGTCCTACGTGGGTGCACCTGCACATGTGACTGTAACGTTGGTGTGATTGTTTCCTTCGTAAGAAGTTACTCACTGTCAAAATAAAGAAAAAATGTAGCACTTGTCAAGATCCAGGAGTCCAAGTTTTCACCTTTTTTTAACTAAGTTATATAAGGTGTGCAATTTATGACACTGTGAATTTAGACAATTAATACCACCCTTCCCTTAGAAGATGATGTAATAAAACTCCTAGTTGTCTTAGCCCACTGCAGACATGAGGAAAAATCATTAATATTTAGAGCACTACTGTCCAAAATTATTCTTTTGTGGCACAAATATGGTATGTTATGAATATTCTCAATTATCAACTCAATTGGTTGGGGAGATCAGTAAAGCACATTTCAGAGTGTGCATGGGTGGTCATGGAGACAAGACCTGTGGGCCTATATCTGATTCCTGGCCCTTAGCCCCTTCCTCTCTGACATTGTCCCCTTTCTCTGCTCCTGGAAAGCCACTAATTGAACATCTTTGCTTTGCCATGCACTTCTGCCATAATATTTCTATCTTGCAACCAAATGGGTATCAACTGAACCCTCTAAAACTATGAGCCAAAATAAACTTCTTTACCTTTCAGGTATCAGAAATTTAGTCCCAGCAATAGGGAAGCTGACAATATGTGGTACATGCATTTGTAAGGAAATAATAAATTTAGTATGGTTTTTAAATCAGCAATTTTAATAAACTTGTTTTTTTTTTTGAGTCATCTAATGTCAGAATTGCAGAGGTTCTCCTAAAGTCAAATGTCGGTATACTCAAGTTTCTAACCTTAGTTCAACAATTTATTATTTAAATGCTGACAATTTGGATGGACATGAATGGTTATCATTTAGGTCTAGCCTCGGTCTGTCTGACAAACAATCACTAATTCACACATTCTGAAACCAAGTTCACTTACTCAGTTTTCCCAGTCCCTGGATACTATACTCTTCTATGCGCCTTTCTCTTGTGTTTCCTATTTCAGCCAGTGAATCATAATCCAGTAAGTTTCCCCAGCTGGAAATTTTAGATTCATCCTTCAACCTAATGCAGTTTTACCGCCAACGTGTGAATACTTGTTTTACCTCAAAATATCATTTTTATATCTTTCCTCCATGTTTCAACAATGTCTTGATCTAATCACTAGTGTCTTTTACTTCCATGGTAACAGAATATGTATTTAAACCATGTTCCACAGTCAGTATGCTTGACATACCATAAACACTACATTTTAAATATTTGGTTAACGAATGAACAGTTTCTTTACTGTTCTTTACTGAATTATTTCAGCAGTATTCACTCTCTTCCAACTCTAGTCAAACTCTGCAGACTGCCTATCTAGAAAATGAAATCCTGTGCTTTCACTTCTCAAATGAAGTTCCCATTTTCCAGATCATCCAGTGTTCTCTGTCCTTGCTACCACCGTTTCACTACAACGTGTCATCATTTGCATAACTGCCTACCTTTGCAGATATTCTTCACTCTGTCTGGATTACCCTACCTTATCTTCCTGGTGAGCTTTTACTCAGCCTCCCGGGCCCTCCATAGATGTCACTTTGCCTTTGTCATCTCCCCTAAATGTCCATCAATCCCAGCTTTAACTGCTTTCAATTTGGTGCTTAAATTGTCATACTTACATCTCACATATATTGGTTGTCAACTTGATTGCCTGGACAGATTAGTAAAGCATGCTTCTGGAGATGCCTTTTTGTCCCAAAGAAAGTAAAGCTCCTAAAAGAAAGAATCATGGTGTACTGTTACAAATCCCCGGCTTCTAGCCAATGCCAGCAACATGCAAATAATCTCATTTACTATTTGTGTGTGTGTGTGTGTGTGTGTGTGTGTGTGTGTGTGTGTGTGTTAGAACAGGTAGTGGGGACTGAATCCAGGGCCTTTACACTCAAATGTATGCTTAGATTTTTTTTTCTGTTTTCTGTTTGAGACAGGCTGTTATTAAGTTGCCCAGTTAGGCTCAAATTTGTGATCATCCTGCCTCAGCCTTCCAGAGTGCTACAATTACTAGACGTGGGCTACTATACCAAATTTCTTTCAGTATCTTTATTCATTTCAGTACAGATTATGAGCCACTGTACAATGTGATGAACATATAAAGAAAATAGACTTGATTTTTGTGCTCATGAAGCTACAAAGGTTAAATTAAATAGCTCTTAAAATAGTAGGTGAAGCTTTCAACAGAAACATTTAAAATTTGACGTTATTAACTTTTAAAATCCCTTGCACCTCAACAGTCTATAACCTCATGTCTAACATTTAAAGCAAAAGCTAACATTGCTACTTGCTTCAAAATTAAGATAATATTTTAAAGTGCATTACCTTGTATTTGTTCCACATTAAATAATTGTAGTTCAAGGGCCAGAGATTTAGCTCAGCAGCACAAGTGCCTGCCCTGCAAACGTGCAGTCATTAGTTTGATCCCCAGTACCAAAAAAAAAAAAAATCTTTAGACATCTTTAAAAATTTTGAGAAAATTACTCTTAGTTTAGGATTGTTGGGTACAAGTTGTCTCTTACAAGAATAAAGATGAAATGTATTTCACAAGAAAAATACAAAATTTAAGAAAAATAAATTCTTAAAAAATAGTAATAATAATTTTAGTCCAACAATCTAGGAATTAATTTTTGAAAGTCTTTTCTAAAAATGAAAATTAAGTTTAGGAAAATATCCTAAAAGAACTAAATTAGTTAAGAAATCAATCAAATTGTTGGGTACATAGGCAATAAAACAGGCATGGAGATTATTTTTAGCTGTACTTGTCACACCGGGAGCATTTGTAAGATACTACAAGCATGTTTACAACATAGTTAAATAATCAAAATTAACTAAAAGTGAAACAGCTCAAATATCAGTTGACCTTTATTCAACCTTATTTTGGGTATTCACTTTAGTTTCCTTAGCTTATCTGTTATTTAGTTCACATAGCTTAATTGATAAAGATTCATTCAAATCACAATAATGGTCAAACCTATTGACACCAACTATATCTTTTTTAAGGGGCCTGTAGTTGTATGCCAGCACATCTGTCTCAACTGTAGATACTCTTAAATCATAATACCTGAATATTTATGTACTGGTGATAATAAGTGTAATGGTTTCAGCATCCAAACCAGTATTCATTCTATAAATATTTTATGGATATTTTGAAAATATAGATTACATGAATTCGTATACATTTATTTCCCTTCACTGATTCTTCTTGAATTTTGTGGTGGAAATAAATTGTTTTCTTATTGTGTTGATACAAGGACTGAAACACTGAAGCTTTTCAACTAAAACTTATTTTTAAAAAAATGCTTAAAACCACTATTCCCATTTTTCTATTTAGCAGTTTAAACATTGGGAATGTGTAAAGAACTCCCAATTGATAGCTAGGCTGCTAGCCAAAAAAATATTTTATACACCTGTATCAATTCATCACCCCTAGTGACTCTATTGTAATAACATTCACCATTCTGAACTTTAGGTATTTAAAAAGTTGTTAATCAAGTGATTCCAGAATATATGTTCCTGTGTGATTTAGCATTATATCATTTCATTACCAAATGTGCCTTTTTGATTAGAGAATGGGTAAAACAAAAACTAAGACCTTGGACCCCATGGAAATATATTATTGCATGCTGATCATTTGGTTAAAAAATGCAAACTTTATAAAGCAAAACAAAGAAACATAGAACTGATATTGATTAGTTAGCTCACTAAAATATTCTGACCTTTCCAAATATAGCTTCCAAAAGAATAACAAGAATAAAATTTAAATTGTAACTGCCTCTTTTCTTCTAAAACTCATAATTTGTATTGTTCATCAAATATTTTAAAGACAAAATTATGATTTCTTACCTTACTGGGAATAATATGAATACTTATTTGACTACAGAAATATTTTACTTTGCTTGTAATGAGAAATAAATATGAATGACTACATAGATCTATAAGTGGAATATATAAAGGCTTTAATAAAGTAGAGTAAGTATTTTTTTCTTTGTCTTTTTTTATGTTGTACTTAAGGATTAAAACCAGCTCCGTGGACATGCTAAGCAAATGATCTACCACTGAGCTCTAACGTCAGCCTTTCATCCTTCTTAGTATTATTTTTAGGTGTAGAGTCTCACTATGTTTTCCAGTATAGCTTTGAACTTCTAGGCTCAAATGATACTCCTGCCTCAGCATCCAGAGTAACTGAGACTAATAAAATAGAATAACGTCTGAACCCCAAGTCTACATATGATACTTTTGTCCATTAGAACAATCCCAACATGAAAATCTTCTGGGGTCATTTTTTTTGTGGTTGTTACTGTTGTTCTATGTAACCATGGTTTCTTCACCCAGAAAGTGATATATTGTTCTTGGCCAGAACTATTTCACTACCCTTACTTAGATCACTTGTTAACTTTATTTATTATTTATTTATTCCTCCATTCATTTGATGCTGGGGATCATACCCAGGGAATCATGCATGCTAAACATGTGCTCTACTACCAAACTACACCTCTAGCTGTAACTTTCAACCCAGTTTTTCACACACTATACACTCTCCCTGGCTTTCATCTTGGAATATGTAAATTTGTCACATCTATTTAGTTACACATTTTGCATTCTTATAAGGCTTGAAACTTAGGATTCTTACTGTGAAAAATCAAGGGTGGGCCTTCTGTGAGTTTTCCTAGGCTTTTAATG